ACGGAGTTGCGGTGTACATTTTGCATCATGTAGCACCTAAACTAGTACGTTTGGAGCGAAAATACAAAGAGTAAATAAATAGTCTTAGAATTGCATAAATATTCTAAAAAGACCATAACATACACCGTTTTCCTGTTTTAAAATTTCACTGCCATTTTTGAAACAATGGAATCAATATTTGTTATGAATGTTATGGTATTTTTTGAATCTAGATGCAATTTTAAGAATATTTTACTTCTTGCATTTTTGCTCTAAACGTAGTCGTTTAGGAGATAAATGATGCAGATTGTAAAACGCAAGTCATTTTTTCTTAGTTGTAACACGTTGTAACTCCTAAACGAGTAGCTTTAGAGAAAAATTGCCAAGAATAAAAACATTTTTTAATTGCATTTAACTTTCCAAAACAATCCTAAAATATAGGGTCTTCCATAAGAAAAATCAAAGTTGGCGGTCATATAGGAAACATGGCGGCTAAAATTATTTTTTCAACTTGACCAAAATTCAAAAAATAAAAAATCCAAGGCATTTACAGTTTAACATTTTGTTATATCCCTTATAACTTGGCATACTTATATCAATCACCCTGTATATAAAAAAGGGCTTAGAATATTCCCGAAAATATGAATTCATTCAAGCATAGATAAAAGGAGTAAGTATGTCTACTCCTTTTTTCTATGCTTGAAGGTTTTTAAGACACGGGACGTTTAAATCGAGGGCCAGAAATCGCAAACAGGCAGCTGTTTTAATGGTTCGAGGACTACTATCAATGGAAATTACCCGTAGTGCAGTTCCCAATTAATTTAACAATTATTTTCTTTGTTGTCAATAACTATTAACTAATATCCTGTAAATAAGTTTTACAAATTAAGCTGTTTCATTGCGTGTACAGATTCCGATCTATTTTTAACGTAAAATTCATAGTTAATTTAAAAGGACCCATTGTTCAGACTGTAACAACTATGTTTGATTTCTTATTGTTTACTTTATATTGTATTTGTATATAAATTGTTACAAAAAATAATGGTTTGGTTTTCAATTATTTTGTTTGTTATTTGTCTGTCTATCTTGTAGTTTGACGTGATTTTTTTCTTAAATACTCCTCTTTTGTTGTTCATCATAAATATTCTGTAAATAAGTAGGCATAGTAAATTATACAGTCGTTCCAATAGTGGTAGGTACGGTTTAGAGTTTGATTGAAAATAAATTGAAAACTTGTCTATACCAAAACGTTTTGATATTGCAAGTAAAATTACGAATATTCATGATTAAGCCCTGGTTTTTAGTGCTCAAATTATCAAACTGTTCAAACTGTATATAAATTTTTTTTATGTTTCATTAAATCATGATACAGTTTGATTTACGAATATAAAAATAGTTAGTAAGTTGTTAAAAACGTGAGTTTCATTTATATTGCTTCTAAATCGAGACATATTTCTCGTTTGCAGGTTGAAATATAATTAAAAAATGAACGGATTTCATATTTTGTATTCAGAGTGAGTAGCTCAAATGCTATGGACACAAGTCGTATCAGGTGTAGTGTTAACTGTAGAGAGGGCCGCTACGACGCATACTACTGCTGCGCGCCACTGCCATTCAGTCTGTCTCTGTCTCTCTCACTCCGTGGGAAACTGGGAGAATTTCCGTCCCTGCGCTGCACGAACTGGCAACGCTGCGGGCCTGAAACGCCAAAACAGCGACTGCACTAGCTCAAATACAGCGTTCGCGACTTCCCTATCTCGTGGGGTATCTGTGTCTATACTCCTTTTATCTATGATATTAGGTTTGCAGATACCTTAATCTAATCGTCATAAACAGTTCCCACACTCCGGACTGTTTGCTTTTACTACTTCCTTCACCACTTCCTACGTCGTTGGACCTGTTTCCCTCCCTTCCCATAGCATTTTAGGATTGTAGATAACTTAATGTAATAATCGTTGATAGTTCCCACACTCCGGACAGCACGCCTTGACTACTTCTCTCACCACTTCCTACATCACCGACCTGTTTCCCTCCCTTCCCGTGGTATTTTAGGTTTGCAGATACCTTAATCTAATCGTCATAAACAGTTCCCACACTCCGGACTGCTTGCCTTTACTACTTCCTTCACAACTTCCTTCGTCGCGCACCTATTTCCCTCCCTTTCCATAGCATTTTAGGTTTGCAGATACCTTAATCTAATAGTGATAAACAGTTCCCACAATCCGGACTGTTTGCTTTTACTACTTCCTTCGCCACTTCCTACGTCGCGGACCTGTTTCCCTCCCTTCCCATAGCATTTTAGGATTGTAGATATCCTAATGTAATCTTCATTAATAGATCCCACACTCCGGCCAGCTTGCCTCGACCACTTCCTTCACCACTTCCTACGTCGTGGACCTGTTTTCCTCCCTTCCCATAGCATTTTAGGATTGCAGATACATTAATCTAATCGTCATAAACAGTTCCCACACTCCGGACAGCACGCCTTGACTACTTCCCTCACTACTTCTGCTTGCCTTTACTACTTCCTTCACCACAACCTACGTAGTGGACCAGTTTCCCTGCCTTCCCATAGCATTTTAGGATTGTAGATACCTTAATCTAATCCTTATTAACAGTTCCCACACTCCGGACAGCTCGCCTTTACTACTTCCTTTACCACTTCCTACGTCGCGGACCTGTTTCCCTACCTTCCCATCGCATTTTAGGATTGCAGATACCTTAATCTAATCGTCATAAACAGTTCCCACACTCCACACTGCTAGCCTTTACTACAATCATAGATAAAAAAAGTCCTGCTACAATGTATCGAGTAATCTTCAGTATAATCTTTGCTCAATAGTAACAACTGATGTTTTTCCTTTTGTACTGTATTTTGTAATTGCTAAAATACTGTGGATAGACTACTTACAAGTCTTTTCTTTACTTTTTCCTTGTTATTCAATTCAACCAACATACTTAGCAACCCATAAGAATAATGTTAAAAAAATGTGACTTTCAGTTTCATTTTTCTACGTAATTAGATTTTTGTTGGCAGTTCTAAGTGCAGTAATCTCGTTTTTAGGCCAAAAATAAGCTATTTACAAGATTTGAAGAAAATCGTCGGAGCCGTTTTCGAGATCTTTCTGCAAGCAAGCAAGCAAGCATACATACATACGAGCAAACATTGCTCGTATTAGAGTATAGGATTTTTAGCCCATTTTAATACTGTGCATTTAGAAACTAAGAACATAATCGCAAAATAGTGCTAGAAAAAGATTTATGTATGTTATGTGGTGTATACTTATCTTTATCTAGCACTATTTTGCGATTATGTTCTTAGTTTCTAAATGCACAATGTTAAAATGGGGTAAAAATAATGTTATAAAAAGTTCTCATAACTATAGAATGGATCAAGATTTTTAAAAACGAATTGCAGCATCGTATTCAGCATAAAAATTTAGTTTAAAACAATGGGTCACAACCCTACCTTTACATTTGAAAAAAACACTTTGTATCCAATTTGGTGGATCCAAGATGGCGGCCATAAATTTATACCCAGTCAAAATGAAGTACTTACTACTCTACAATGATCTGACGTGGTCCGGAGTTGATATCTTAAGAAATGTAGAAAAAAGTAGGGGGGGAACTCATTTAAAACTCACCCTGTATATGTGTGTCTGTGAACGCGATAACTTGACAGGGTGTCCACAGAAAATTTGTCATCAATTTCCATGACCATCCAAGACCATTTACCATTGATTTCCATGACTCACAAAATTTACTCGAAAATTAACATATACACATAAGAATAATACTGCCTAGACAAGTTATTTCACAAAAAATAATGAAATATGTATTAACATATGACAATGTAGTACAGTAGGTACAACAATGAAAAACTCCAAATTCATAAACTAATACAACTGTAATAAATTAAACTGTCATACATTTGTGAAAAATCCTGAAAAAAGCTACACAATAGTCGGAGTTACGGCCGACTAGAGCATTGAAAAGTCCCCTCAAATCCAGCCATCATTGGGGATTTCCATGACTTTTTGCCTATTTCCATGACTTTCAATGACCAGAATTTTTTCCATGACTTCCATGAGTATCCCTGACTTTCCAGAATGTGGACTTAGGCTAGGATTATACTAGGACGCTGGCGTCCAGGATGCTGGCGTCCGAGAGGCTAGCGTCCCACCTCGAGCCGAAAAATGATGCGATTTGTGTTGGGATGCTAGCCTCTCGGACTGCCATTTTATTTCAATGTTAAGTCACTTTTTGTTTAGATCTATTTAAATAACATTATGTTTAACGAGTACCAAGGTTTGATGTTTTAAGGGGGCTAATAAAGTGTGTTTTTAGTAAAATACTGTATTATTAGCTTAGTATAAAACAAATTGGCCAAGTATAATCAAAATATATCCACTTAACAACATTTTCAATAACATGGCAATTTTTAATATTCTTTTTTTCTTATTTTCTCCATAACTAATAACAGTACAAAAACACTTAAATATAATAAATTATTTGTTTTTAAGCTCGTTAAAATTGTCTAGAGAGAAATTGGGAATTTTTCAGTTTTATGGGTCAAAAATGACAGACCCCCTTTTTTAGCACATAAAACCCCTTTCCCAAGGTCTTTTCATGCTGGTTCGGGAACTCATTCAAGTTTATCCCACCCTTCACCTTAAAACCAAATTTCTTCAAAATAGGACAAAAGTTACTCCAGTTATCGCGTTTACAGACATATATAATATTTAAATCTATACGAACGGACGGTGTTTTTAGCCTCTGGGGACATCAAAATGAAAATGTAAATCGGTCCCGGGCCTAGGTCTTACCATGCCACCTACGGTAATAGCTTCGAGCGTCCGGTGGTTTTTTTTAGCATCCATAGTATAATCGCCCCCATTTGATTTAATGCCCCGCTAGCGTCCCGGACGCTGGCCTCTCGGACGCCAGCGTCCTAGTATAATCCTAGCCTTAGTCTTAATTTATAAATTTAAGTTCATTTATAACTAATATAATATAAATACCTCGTCACAGCTCTGAAGTTTCTGTAGATTACAGCTGTTTTGGCATCAAAATGCCATCCTCAGATATACATACATCCACCTGAATTGGCGTCGTTAAACTGTACACACACACGAACACGATAAAAACACAAAAACACGTAAAACAAGAGACAGACCTGTCGCGTACATGATTGCCAGGGCCGGATTTAGCATTTTTGCGCCCCTAGGCCCAAATAATTTTCCGCTCCCTAGTCTGGTCACAGTTACTTTCCTTCAAACCTTTATTAAAAACTATATCATGCCCATAGGCCTAAGTTATAATTGCTTGAATACCACTCCTCGTTGGAATCATTGCAAGTTTTTTTTTTAGAATTGACTTGTTTAGCCTTAACAAAATACCGTCTTAAACACTTTTAGCAATTTTATGTTTTTTTTATAATTGCTCACGTTTGTGGCCGAGGGGGTGGGACTGAAACAAAACAACTGAACCCACCGAGCATTCCTGCAAAAAAACAAGGCCATTGATTCCAATTATTCCAGGCCCAAAAGCATGAACTCTATACAGTACGTGACACCATAGATTAAACATACGTACTCCTTTAGTAGATTTGTCATAATTTTGGATTAGCTGAAAACAATTCTTGTTATTTAAAGGGGATGTTTATCTATGTTTAAATCCAAAATAAAACGATCTAATCATCAACAATAGGCCGTCTCCTGTTTATATTACAAGAAATTAAAACACACATCATAGAACCAACCCTAAAATAATAGAAACAAAATTACGTCAAAACTAACGTCCAGTGTCACAACATGAACTACACATGGAAAAATTTTGAATTGACAATGTTATGAGAAGTCGACTTGAGTTATATTTAATCCATGGTCGTACTGCATCTAGGTTATACTTACAAAGCAAAACAGAGCAATATTCCGGCCAACCGTACCGATCCTTAGGCCTGAGGAGAAAATGACAGCATTAATGGTTCTTTGGAGGGTATTGAATTTTTCTAAAATTGAATGCAAACTGAGATTAATATTTTTTCGTTAATTTTAAAGGTAAATTCATTGTTGTTTTAATATTCAACAAAACTTAGCCTATGATATATTTTAACTTGATCCTGCAGATAGTTGTAAACTAATCAAAAGATTAGTTAATAAATAACTTTTGTTTTGTGATGTGAGGGTGGTAACAATGTCATGTCTAGCACGCATGCGCCCCTTATCACTCTGATCAGTAGTGCCGAGCCCGACCCAGCATAGTGGCAGTGCAGTGGCAATACGATGCGTACCCCTTGGGCGCTCGTCAACGTCAACATCCCTACAGCCTACTCCCGTATAACCAATGTTCGTTAGCAATTTTGCAACGAAATTGATGCGTAATTCTGAAAATATAGTTTGACAATTATTTCTTCTTATGAACTTCAGAATCACAATGCTTTGGAGTTTTTTTATCAACTATGACTATTTATTTTTATTTTTAGATAGCCTAGGTATAAAAAAAATACTCCGGCCGTGCGCCCTCTGGGACCTTGCGCCCATACCGGGCCTATTGGGAAATCCGGCCCTGATGATTGCTACGAGTACGGAAGCTGATCATGTACTCGTAGCAATCATGTACGCGACAGGCCTGTCTCTTGTTTTACGTGTTTTTGTGGTTTTATCGTGTTCGTGTGTGTGTACAGTTTAACGACGCCAATTCAGGTGGATGTATGTATATCTAAGGATGGCATTTTGATGCCGAAACAGCTATAATCTACAGAAACTTCATAGCTGTGATGAGGTATTTATATTATATACATGTCAAAAGTAGCCTTAGCCATGTAGCTGCTTACCTTTGCTGTCGCCAAGAGAGACGCGAGACACCGGACCAGGTGTACCAGACCCTGAGCTGGTGGATGGGGTCGGCTCAGCTGCGACAGGTGCCCCTTCTTCCAGGGAGTCTGAAAAGTGTTTAGATTAATCTTTCAAATTGACTTGTTGATCAAATTGCTGCATCAATCTTAGCCTACATTTGTCAGGCTAAACTTTGAACAAGTAACTGCTTGAATATATTTTAATTTTCAAATTCCTATTTCCTCTCGCCTTCAGGGTTACAGCCAACTAGAGCATTGAAAAGTCCCCTCAAATCCAGCCATCATTGGGGATTTCCATGTTTTTCCATGACTTTTTGCCTATTTCCATGACTTCCAATGACCAGAATTTTTTTCCATGACTATCCCTGACTTTCCAGAATGTGAACACCCTGCTTGAGTAATTTTTGTCCAATTTTGATGAAATTTGGTTTAAAGGTGTAAAGCATGATAAACTTGAATAAGTTTTGTTATTAAATATTTTGACTTGCCAAGTACACTATTATTCACAGTAATGTATTACATAATGTATTACACAATGAGGCTGTAGTATAAATAGCATTTCATTTTTAAATTTTCGTTCCTTAAAAACATGTAAAATTGTAAAAATGTAAACATGTAAACTGTAAAATTTTAGTTAATTTTAACACGAATTCGCACAAATATCAGTGGGCGTTATACTCTCAAAAGTTAAAAATTTATCTTGCAACTTGTTTAGTCAATAAGAGATATTAATTAGTAATATTTTTAGCTATAAGAATTTCTACCAACAAATCAATATTTTGAGTTTTAATATTTTCGTAATGTAATCTAGTTTTATCTGTGTGAGGCAGACAGAGATAGACGAAGCCCAGTCTGAGTCACTTCCGCTAGCAACGGAATTTCCCAGCGCTTGTAACGTACCTGTACTCACAGGAAATCTCAGTTCGGCTCAGTTCTTGTTCTCGTGCACAGCGTACTGCTGTGTTCTCTTTTGTCCACGCTTCTCTTATAGGCGTTTGGATTAATTATCTCTTTGTAACTCTCTCTTATGTATCATTGCTCAGTATTTAAGTAAAATCTTCTTATTACTTTAAATCAAAGTCAGTGTTTTATAGTCCCTTGTGTTGTTCTAAATTACTCTCCCCCTCTGTGTTCTACTCTTCTAGAACTTCTTTGTGCGCGTTCGTGAGCAGATTCTCAGGACATTTCTACGTGGACGTATTGTTAACGGTCTACCGCGACAGAAGATACTGATTCAAGATCAAGATCCCTCTATCCCTAGTGACTTATCCCTCTGTGCAACACCCGAGCTTGGACACGACGCCTTTCCCTAGCCTGACATAACAATGGAAATTGGTGAGTGACTCTCTTTAATTCATTGCTTTAATTAAGGTGTTTCCCAGCTCTATGGTTCCCGACCTAATCGGGTGGTCCTTCGAATTTTACTTATTTCTCACTCTCTAATTTGTAATTATCTCATATTTTACTCCCCCAAAACAATCAATCGAACACAACTGGTTTTGTTCCTACAATGCCTAAACACAAAAAATATATAATTATCATTGTTAAGAAAAGTGATAACACTTATATCTTAATTTACAGTCACGTTTCTGCAACGTTTGGTAGCCATCTTGGATTGGGGTTATATTTAATAATAAAAAAATTGGCAACACGTAATTTTTTCATCCTAAGGTACACATTAACAGTTTTCAAAAGTTATTTCAATTTTAACAGGCCAGTCTAGCGAATGATACACCCCAGCCCACACTAATACATATATGACTAGGGATTCTCTTTTTCACCCAGAAAAGTGGAAGCAATTCTAAAGGTTTTGAGGAATAGAGATCCCATTTTAGCCACAAAGCCACGTTACGTGCAGTGCAGCTGGATATGAGTGAAAATTTAAAAACGTACGTTTTCAGCAAAAGCACTTTGCAAATTTTTTCCCCCTTTTTTCAAAACTTTTATTATTTTTTTTTATTTCATTAACATTTGAAGTTTCATTAAATGTCCATGGTAACGCAATATCTTTGGTAGTTTTTTTTTTTAAAGAGCATCTTTAGTGGAAAAACACAAAATCCTGTCACGACCATAACAGACGTTTAAATGAATATTAAAAATAGTTAATATTATTTTTATAACTATGTTTTGCTATAAACCAATTTACTTTTATGACCATTATACAATTAAAAGGTCACTGAGCTTTTGGTATATTTGGTCTTTCTAGAAAAAAATAAAAAAATTGAAAAAAGCCAATAAAATCTTTTTAAGTTTGTATAACTCCGAAAAAACTTACCTGAGACCCGAAAAATCGTTATGTTTGTATAGAGGTGTGCTTTTTTGTGTATAAAACATTGAAATATGACGATATTTTAATTTTTGAAATTTTTATGATAGAAATCCTAAACGTGATGGTCAGGGACAAGCGGTACGGTCGTGAATTTTCTGAAATAATCTAAATCTTTCTAAACAATCCTTCAATTATACTGTTAGTTATAATAAAAATATGTGTTTCAATTTAACTAAACTGTTCAATTTACAATTATATTAAAGTTATTGTCACGACCACACACACTATAATCCATAAGGCTGGATTGGTCGTGAAAAAACCCGTGATGGTCGTGAAATTACGTGTTATTTGGCTCTGTTCTGGCGGTAGCCCTGCACCTCATGTTCGAGGATACAAAGTGGACTTCTAGGTTAATCTAGCAATTGAAATATCTTATAAACAAAAATTAACACCATGTCTACTTCATCGAAAGACTACGTACGGTCATGGACACACTAAAATTACAAAAAACACAATCTTTCCTTTATTAATCTTGTAATTCCTCCTTCCAACTCCAAACGACCGGCACTACAATCCTGACGTACACCCTGAACTAGTCTCTAAAACCAACTGACTCCATCGACGCCAGGCTTGCCACTGTCGTGCTCCAAAGTTGAAAATTTTTCCCAAATGGTCGTGACGCCAAATCGAGGGACAGACTTATTTTGTCATGGTAGTCAGTTTGCAATGACAATAAAATTATAATATGCTCCTTTTTTGTTAGTTTAATAACCATTGATGACATAAAAATATGGCTTTATATATTTCGGCATGAATAATTAGTCTAAAAACAGCGTGAAAGTTGGAAAATGTTCCCTAGGGACACGTCATGGTCGTGAATTTCGAGACTTTAAAAATACGAAAAAAATACCTAGAACCTGTTTAAAACCAAATAAATGTGTGTAACATGTTGC